AATTATTAATGTGTAAAGAAGATTGAAAAAAGTTCTACTAAAATTAGTAAGAAGAGAAGAAAGCGTGGATTAGGTGGATAGAAGCAACAGGATAAGGTTTAAACAATACAAATATTTTCTTAAGAACTGTCTTGACATTTATAAAAACTTCTGTCTCACATCAGTTCATTAAGATACGTGCAGACAATTACAATTACAACTTTGAGCAAACATACAGAGGTCAAGATGATTCTGCTGTACATACTGCATTAATAGCCAATAGCGCACTTGTATACTTGCCTTTTTACTACGATCTGTCTCGATTTTATTGCATTACCAACACATTCTAAATGTACTGTAAATGTTTTACAAAAAAAAACAAAAAAAAAAAACCGATTAATGTTTCAAACATATTTTTTAACATATTTTATTTATATACGTATGTATATTTTACTTGATTCTGTCAAAATACATATAAATAAGACATAAATGTAATTGATAGCATTCAAAAGAAGTTGATCATTGAAATAAAATTCCTCTTGTATTGTTCATAATGTTCATACGTACATTTTCAATTACATACTAAACATTCACTTATTGATTTGATTGAATGAGATTTGATGCATAAAAATATTGAATTCTAAATCTGCAAAGATAGTGTAATTATGTGTGGTTACTGTGTTGCAGATACAACACAGAAAACCTTTCCCAGTAAAATGTTTAAAAGGTCATAAGGTCAAATGCGCAGTGGGGTCATATGTGAATGCCTTTCAAATGGGTTAATATATTATTTTATGCGAATTACAAATTGTATATCTCTAGTAATACATCAAACTGTCTTTCACTTTTAATTTTACCTGTAGCACCTGCAGCCTCATTTTCCTACAAGGTATTTTACAGAGATGTTTATATAATTTAGATTTATCTTTCCCATCAGAATCTTGTTAGGAATCTACAATTATTTGTGAATTACTTCAAGATCGGTTAATTTTTTAGCTAGACTTGCTGACTTGCACTCAGCTAATTTAATATCAACAGAAGACAAGATTTTTTTTACACATTTATATCTTTTCTTCGCATAGATGCTTTTGGCTGAAACATTCTACAAAACAAGAAAACATTTTATTTAATTTTTTCTTGGCCTGCCGCTCAAAAGCTTTCAAGAATACAACTACCAGCAGAAGACTTGATTTCAATAACATTTTGTATATTCTGCAATTTAATCAATTTTATTTAAGTTAAAATTGTCTCAAGCTTCTCAAAATCACTGTTATGAATCTGTCGGGGAAAAGTGGTAGTGATTTTATGGAATTTTATGGATTTTATGAAATTGTCTGCAAAGAAAATAAAATTAGTAATATTTTTAATTGTTTTTAACATTAAAAACATTTCAAGCAGGCCAGGGATTACAAAGCTTTTAAACATAATGGACAATATATCTAACTACAAATACAGCAAAATTTCATTGTCTACAGCCAGACAAACCCACTTGATGTAGGCTACAATATTTAGGCCCAGGGGAAGTTTTCTTTTACTCCAGGGCCTTTGGTAAATCCCAGGGCCCTTGATATTTATAAGATGACTAGCAAATGATTCATCACTGCCAGTTGTCTGCGGCTTGTGCTTGGTAGTATTAATTTTAATATTTGGAATCCCTCTAGACACTACCCACGGAATTCAGTGGTATGGTCTGTAATTACAAGTGTACAAATACCTCTACCCCTTATAAAACTCAATGGGTCAAAGGTCAAGGGCATATGCAGATTCATCTATTCAACAAGGATTCATAAAACAAAAAGCCTCATAATTATACATGTCTGTATTATACATGTATTATCAGGCCTTGTTATTTAAAAATGGCATTTGAGCTAAAAAAACACACCTATTTTTTTTTTTTTGGTGAGTCATTGTTTGGGAGAGGAAAAAATTGAAGCTTCAGTTGAATAGTTAGTATTATATCCATCTAAATAGATTTCAATCATTTGATTGGTTGTTTTTGTACCACTGGACATTAGTTATTTTACCCATGTCATCGCTTAAATTTTGTTCTATTGTGCATTTTTTTCCCTCATCTGAATCGTGCATTGCATGTTACCTAGGATACAATTACTTTTTCCGGAAGGTTAAATCCAGAAATGACGTATTTTCAGGGACTGATCCAGAGATTTTCTGACGGCAGAATATGAAGTTCATGCCCACCTTAGCCCCACCATGGTTGGTGAAAATAAGTGGTAAATAATCAAGCTCTTCTTTCGCCCGCTGCTGTATCGCCACTGAACTCATGGGGGCATTCCCTTTTTTGCTCTTTCCTCTCTTTAACTGAAAGCCACTAAATACAAATGAAAAGTGTGAGTGCGATTGCTGGCCTCAAATCACAGGCTCTGCATGTAAACATATGGAAAAGTGTAACAATTGAGACTACCTCTATAAATTTAGTTTTTGAAAATTTAGGAAATAGTTGTTAAAAAGGGAGCTTGTTGAGCTCGTATTATATTCCCATAAAAACCAGCAAAAAGCCACTAAATACAAACATAGTTTATTATAGTACTAATGAGAGCTTATCACCAAGTTGCTGGTAACAAAGGGATGTTCTCCTTGTTGGTGCTGGCTACGAAGTTTTTGAGTATTCATCAGAAAAAAATTGTAATTTATGCATATATTTATCAGGTTTTTGTGCTCACATATTACCAAAGGACCTTTTGCGTGTAGATGTTGAGAAACGTGTCGTTTATGTCGAGATGTTAAAATTCATATTTAAGAGTTCATTTATTTCTAGTGTCAAGAACTCCCA